GCATATGTCTATAGGACTTTTTTTCTTAGTTTTTTACTCCTCTACACGCTCCCGAAGTTTTGCCATTTAATTTGGAAACACCCTGTATATATATATATAAAATAATATATCATATAAGACAAATTTTTATCTTTTATATAGTAAACAATGCTTATATAGGAATTCGAGTGCAATTAATTTTATATATATACATTGTACAAAATAGAAATATGAAGTCGATAATTTTTTTAAATGATATGCTTCAATATATCAGTTAGCTAAACAAATTAACATATTTATTTCTAATTTGTAAAAAGGGAATTAGATACTTTATGACTTATATATTTCAGCTGAACACGATATATTCGGCGAGGCAGTTAGCGACAGCGAAGATGACGATGAAGAAGCAAACATAAATGTGATGGAGCTAGATGAGAATAGCCGCCTTTCGGCGGACAGTAGAGTTTCGGATTCCAATTCGATGCAAGCCGCATATTCTGAGAGGTCAAGTAACAACGCGACAACGAGCAGTGGATTAGTTACAGAATTCAGTAAAGACATGTTCCACAATGACACCAACGGCGATACGGAAGCCGAAAAGCCACAGGGTGAGACTAATCCATTAAAAGCTCCAAAATTAGAACGATTTCACTCGGAATATATTATTCCAGAATCACCCACATTGGTATCCGTTTCTAAAGGTAATTTTAAATAAGCATTGTTTCTACTTATAAGATTGATATAAATTCTTAACTTATTTCAATCTAAAAACATCCAGATTCGCGTCTTGCTACTCTTCACGCGGAATTGGCGGAATTGCGGCAAAGAAGGCAGCAACAAGAAATCGAAATAGCTAATATCGAAAACGTCAAGCTGAGGCAACGGTTCCAGGAAATTTTAGATAATTTGTTGACTCAAGAAATACAGAAAGTACAAGAGGTAAAATGACATTACACATATATATTACATTTTATTAACAACTGTTTTGACTCTTACAAATATATATAAATACATATTCTTTTTTAGATACAAGATCTAGAAATGGAATAGAAAATGCAGGATGAGATTCACGCATTATATATATATATATATATAATAAAAGACTATATATACATATAAGATAAATTTTGTCTTTTATATAATAAACAAATTTTTACATAAACAGCTTAAGTGCAATTAACTTATATACATATATATATTGTACAAATCAAAATATAAAGTTACAACTTTTTTTAAATGATATCATTTAATACTCGAAAACAATTTATTTCTAATGCCTATCAATAGCATATTTTATAGCATATAAATCTTGAATAAAGTTGAAGAAAAACAAGTTAAGATATCCTTATTTTTACATTATCATTACGTTCACGAAGATAAATATTTTCTACCGTATAGCTGTGCCTTTTTCTCAAATCCCACAGATTTGATAGGAGTATTTAGCTTATAAAATGGATTCATTGAATACTGAAACATAGAAACACAACATTTCTGAAGTAAAGTTATTAACATATATATATATATACAGTGATGGGAGAAAGTTCCGTAACGGTCAAATATCTTGGAAAATAATGATTATGGAAGAAAATGTTCAATATAAAAGTTTTAGTATATCAAGTGGTCTATTATATGGTTATATTGAAAGATTGCGACAAGGCTGTATAGAGATGTGATACATAGATAAAATTATAAGATAATAGAGGATAAAGTGATAAGAAATAAAAATACTAAGAAAATACATGTATGATAACACACGGGTGAGGAATGAATATGGAATGAAAGTGTGAATGAGTTAAGTTTTTTTGTAAACCAAGTCCTCTTCTTGGCTGTATATGCTGAAATGTAAATAAAATTCTATTCTATTATATGGTTATATTGAAATGACTTTCATGTGATCTTGAAGAACACCGTGAAGGTCAACTTTGAAATCTTAAATGGAAACTCTTATTTTCTATTACATATTTTTAAAGCTGATGTTAAAACATTTCCAAAACACTGGTTACAAACCCTTTTTGTTTGAGATCTTCCTGAGCTACGAACCTTCAAAGTTTAAGTATCGCCGGCGCGTTATCTAAGGTGTACCGCGTGGAGGTGGCACGATCGGATATCCACCTCTTCGAGATACACACATACACAAACACACACACACACACACACACACGCACGCATACACGCACGCATGCACACAAGGACTCATTTTGATCAAGTATCTCGAAGAACTGTGTCCTTGATGGAAAACACCCAAGGATTCACTGTGTTACAACGTCATCTGTATCTCTAGCTGCAAAGCACTCTAAGGGTGGTATTCATAGTCAGTTCTTATATTCAAGATCGTCTTAAGTTCTGTCTTGAGGTGTCACGAACCAATCAGAGGGCCGCATTGGCACCTTAAGACATTACTTAAGACGGCCTTGAAATAAGAACCGACTATGAATATCGGCCTAAATCAATGATATTGTCATGAAATTAACTATTACCTTTATGTAGGTCTCGTACATTTCATTAAAAAAGTTCTTGATCCCGTCTTCATTCTTACTATCGTGCACCATGACGAATCGGATATGGGTCGCCGTCACAAACGCGCTGACAAACCACTGGTTAAATTTATCCACAACTTTCAGATGCATGTTCGTCGTTTTCCACGTGTGCTCGTCCACAAGATCAAGCGCCGCGTGGGCGATGAATTGATTCAAATGCGAGTGATCCTCCTTCTAAAAGAAAAAAAATAGGATGGTAGAGTCAACGAGAGAGAGAGTCAATGCAAAGTCGGAGTTTAACCTCAAAACGAACCTTTGCGTCTTTTCCCGCATTGTTGAACTCTATCTCGAACAGCGGATTGTCGGCGTGGCCAACGATAGCGAAATAGTAATTTGCGGACATTACGAAACGACTGTCCGCGTTGTCACTGCTATTAGTGTTATCACCGTGGATCGTAACATACGATTCATCTGTCACTGTCAATCTTCCGCACACAGTGCAGCCATATCAATTCTCGAAGGGTTCAAAACGTCGCGCGTCGCGACTCGAAAAGTGCTTCAGTTGAAAAATGAAAACAGTTCGAAAAAATATAATTTTTTTAAATTAAAAAAATACGACTGTTCTTCAAAAATTGGAACTCACATATTTATACATTTTTCAGCTTTTGATCTGCTTTCAGCGATAATTGGTAGGTATATAAACTTTTTCTGTAAAGAAATTAAGCGAAATATCGAATATGTTAATCGAATTTTGATTTTAAATAAAATTCGTAATTCTGTTTTAATTATTAATTATATTTATATATTAATTACTTGTAGGAAACTATTTTATACCTTTGTTTGATTAGTACCGATGGTAGATACATTATTTTACTCAGTCGGTAAGGCAGGTTCTGTAACCATCAAAGGTCAATTATGTATCTTGAAATTTCAGATAAAAGTTATAAAAATGAGCGAATTTACTACGTCCTGACCAATGAAATTATAAGTATTTTAGTAAATTCGATTTTGTGATTTTCACCTCGTTTCAAGACATAATTGACCCCCATCAGAATTATACTGTATATTTTTAGTTTATACGTTTTCATGGAATATTTCAGAGTTGTGCGTTCGCTCATAAAATATAATTTAATCTACATCTACGTGTACTAATAATGTAAACCATGTTTTACATGTTATCTGTGCAATAAAGAATTAATCTATGTGGATATCATATTTAAGAAAAGTCTGTTTTTTGTCGTTGCACTGAACTGGACTAAAGTAATATTTCTATCTCGCTTATATACTTTTTTATTATCAATATTAAAATCAGCTATATTAATGATTCTAAAACCTTATTACTTCTTTCTGTATTGTATCATTATCCAATTAATTTATAGTTTACATATTTTACACATCGTATTCTGTAAAAAAAAAAATTTGTGTAAATTCAAATTTAAACATAAACGTATAAATATTCCATGTAAATATTGAAATATACGGCACAATTAACCCTGGAATAATATTTAAGTATTATTTTACATTCACACGAATCTTTATTAAACGATTTTTATTATCATTTTCTTATTCTTCATACTAAAATGCATAAAATTTATTATATCCACAGAATGCTTTATTGAGTATAAATTTATCCCAATTTCAGTTTTCGTTGTTGTTTGATTTCTTTATCAAACTTCAGCGAATATTAAGGACTGTCATTCGCGTTTTTATTAATGACAGAACACGACAACTCGTGTCTTTGCGTCGCTAATTTTGGCGGATCTTGTATATACACGTGAACGACAATCATCAATCGTAATTACTAACCGCAGCCACAAAATAACAAAGTAGAGACCGCTGATAAATATGCGAGAATCGACAAATAATAACTTCGTCTCTCGTCCGCGCGCGTGGAAAAAATAAATGCTGACAAAACGAGTAATTTTAGGATAATCTCCGCGCGATAATGATATGAAGAGATATGAAGAGATTACGGTAGAGGCAACTGGCGCTGCGCGATACAAGCACACACATGCACGCACACGTGTGTCGGATGGTGAGGTTGAGTCTTATGTCGTATCGCGCCGGTGGTTTTGTTTCCCCCGCACTCTCGGCGTTTCCTCGCGATACGGGAATATCACCACGGGCATGATGACCGTATACGTCGTCGCGTCTAGTCGCGTCACGAGTCGAACGGAGACGGCCTCGGTGCACGCTATGCACGGATAGAATACTTTCCAATCAGTGCGTACGTACCACACGGCATGTAACTTGCGCGTGCGCGCGCGCGTAATATATACACAACACTCGTTGCGAGGAGGAGGGCGAGACGCGCGCATCGTCGATTGTTATCGCCACCCGAATGTTCGCGGATTCCTTTGTATCCGTTAACGCGTCGCTCGCGATAACGCTCGCGGGATGATGCCGTTGCTCGAAGACGCTCGCCTGTGAATCCTGGGGGGGGAAGGAGGAACGTAAGTCGCGGACACGTCGGTTCTTTTAATCTTGTAAATTGATCACGGAACCGACGGCGTCCCGACGTGCTGTGTAAACATCGTCCTATAACGCGCGCGCTTCTCGGAAGCTCGAGGAGGAGGATCCGGGATCGGATCCGTATGTTAAATCCGCGAGTGACCGCAAAGAGTGTTGACGAGTTTTTCTCTTTGATGAATCGCACGACTCGCGCGACGACGAGCCGCGACAAACGTTCCCCGGTGCATCATCGACGACTGGGCCATCGTGGGCGATACTCCGCACGGTTTGTGAATGAAAACTCCTCGTTACGCGTGCGAGGTGCATAATGACAGTGATATTGGGCCGTAAATGTTTGTCACGATCGTGCGAATATTTGCGCAACTGTGCAAATAAATTTAGTAAACACGAGCTAACGAACGAGTAACTTCGGTGTAACTTGGCTTAAGAGAGACGGCTATACGAAAACTGATGACTATCGAAAAATACCGCATTCCGACCTCGTGTTATCGCGCATTTCATTTTCTATTTTGTTTTCGCCGATTCGCAGACAGTATTTTTTAAAGGAATGCAATGTCACTCTGGCCGTCGCGACGGTCGAACGTTTCGAACGCGCTGCTCTGCTGCTTTTCGCATCTGTTATATATGTGCCTGTAATTAACATGATAATAGACCGAGCTTGCATAATAGTAGACCGAGCATTATTACATATATTTCCTATTTTCTGTATTCGCACCTGTGCTCTGACACCTTGGTGCTTTTGTAAAAAATCGCTTTGCGATCTTGGAGATAACATCTAATATTACACAGTACACACTGTTGTTATCAATTGTCAATAAAACAAAAGTGCTATTATATCTAGCATCACGACAACCATTATTTTGTTATCTAAGAACTCTTCCGAATAACTCAAAAAGTGTGCTGTGAATATAACGTTATTTCCTGGTATTCTCGTCCCCAGACTTATCAAAACACCTGTCTCTGGTTGCTGTCTTTCAAGTATTTTTTTTTTCTTTCAGATCCAGTCCTCTGAATAAAAAATACTGCATTATATATACGCTTATATATACAACTCTTACTACTTATTCTTAGCTGACTAAAAATACGAGGAGCATGAAAAGATGTGCTCAGCAAAAATTATCTACATATTGTGTAAGTGACGAGTTCAATATATGAGCTTAGAATGGCCTTGAAGAATTTATTGTATTATCAAGACATCTTGTTGATCAGGTATGTATATGAAATTATTGAATAATAATGAATTAATTTTATTAACATAAATATTACATGATGTTGGAGTTGATATCAATTTTAATGTTGTGAAATAGTCATCTGCGACATGAAGGAGAGCTAAAATAGAAAAATAATACATTGATATAAAAGAATTTTTTTTTATCTGCTTGTTTTTATAATTGATAATTATAAACCGTCTGATATCAGTAAGGTCAATAAATTTTTAGAATTTACAACTTTCTTGATACCTTATCAAGATAATATACAATAGATATTGCATTGCTTTAATATCTAAGTTCAACATTTAGTGCGTTTCCTATTTAAGGTCGGGCTACACACGTTCAAGTAAATTTGTCAAGTATACTTGAGCAAATTTATTTGAACATGTGTGGCCGGCCTAACACAGTGCTCTCTCTGTTATTATATTAATCATAAAACAATAATATATGTTTTTATACTTTAGAAGGCAGTAATAAAGTATCATATCATGCATTTATACGAGCAAACATGAATGCGAAGGAGACTGCAATTTATATTCAAGCATTTATAGCGTTATTGAGTTGAGTCATAATTTATATTATATATCATGGTACAGCAGCGGCTACCTAGTTTCGATGGTAAATGTCCATTTAATTTTGTATAAATAAATTTATGCTGTCTGATTTGTATTAATCCATAGTTTGTAAATGTGAAATTATAACAGTTATAAAATATGCAGTAATTAGTTGTTTACACAGGTGGTCGAAGTGGACGGCGATTTATATTGACACTCGTTGCTGGAACGATTTTCGGCTTTTTATCAGCATGTTTGCTCATTACATCCACGAGAGATGTACCGCACATGTTTAGTTGGATACCAGGTGGTTCTGGCCTTTCTAGAGATCCTCATCATTATTCAGAACTCGAATCAGAGGTAAGCAATGTATTTTTTTTATATTTCAAATAAATTTGAAATATAAAATTTTAAAATATGCCAGCTTGATCTACCATTAAAAATACCATATGTTAAGTATTTGATACAAAACATAGAAGCTTATAAGCCGGTATAAATGCATGTTAATTTTGCTTATAGCTGTACCTATGAGGAAAATGATAAACCTTCTCTCTCTTTTTGATTAAAATATGTGTAAAAAAACGTTTTTTTAAATACAATTTTTTTAATACAATTGATGTTCCGAAATTCGTGAATCAAAATATCACAGCAAAATTTCTCGAAAAATTAAATAAAAAAGTTATTTGTATTTTAATTTAACAAATTTAATAAATTTTTTATTTTAAGTAGTACACTTTTTAAGATAAGAGTTTTAACATGGCTAACTATAGACTACGTTTAGATAATGATCCATATTAATGGCCATCTAAACGTAATTGACCATATTTAAATCCTTCAAAAACTACTTAAAAAATTTACAAGTAACTTAATTTTTCGAGAACTTTCTTGCTATTTTGATTCGTAAATTTCGGAACATCCTATAGGTATGACTGTGAAATGATTTTTAAGTTTCATCACTGAATTTTCTATGATAGGTTGGCCCTGAAACAGAAGTGAAATTTCATGGTGATGATGAAGATTTTCACAAAGGAGAAGATAGAATAGCTCAGGATATGGCGAGAAAAGTGCGTGTTCTTTGCTGGATTATGACAGGTCCAAAGAACCATCAGAGCAAGGCTCGTCACGTAAAAGCGACATGGGGAAAACGCTGCAATGTACTTCTTTTCATGAGTTCTGCGGCAGGTATTTTAAACGTCAGATAAAGGTTGCGATACGCAGGTAGAATTTTTGTACAATGTAATCGTACATTTATTTTTAGATGCCAGCTTACCCACTGTAGTGTTGCCAGTAAAGGAAGGTAGAGATAATCTATGGGCTAAAACCAAAGAAGCGTTTAAATACGCTTACGAGAAGTACAAAGATAAAGTAGATTGGTTCATGAAAGCTGACGACGATACGTAAGTGTATTCTATATTTGTGATAAACTTTATCTTTACAGCATGATTACGATATGCATGTATCAGTCTTTTCACGATTTTATTTTTACGGCATAATATACAATATACATAAACAAGTAACACAAATTGCTGTTGATATCTTTTGGTATTGAACAACAAAAAATATAAGTACATGTAATATTGAATAAATTAGAAAAAAAATAGAAAAATTGAACAAAACGTGATAGTTTAGCTTATTTTAAATGAACAATACTATCCCATAATCAAAGGAGTTGCTACTAAATACGTTGTACACATATGTATGTAATTGAAAAAATAATTTTTTTGTGTTTATGCGTTTTCAGATATGTGGTGGTAGAAAATTTACGATATATGCTGTCGTCGTACAATCCAAATTCATCATTGTACTTTGGATGCAGATTTAAACCTTTCGTGAAGCAAGGTTATATGAGCGGTGGCGCGGGATATGTACTTAGTAAAGAAGGTTTACGCAAGTTTGTGGAAGAAGGCTTACCTGATAAGACAAAGTGTCGGCCGGATAACGGCGGCGCCGAGGACGTAGAGATGGGAAAATGTCTCGAAAAAATAGGTGTACGCGCGATGGATACCAGAGATCCTCACGGGCGCGGTAGATTCTTTCCGTTTGTGCCGGAACACCACTTGATTCCAAATCATGTAGATAAAAATTTCTGGTATTGGAAGTATATCTATTATGATACCAAGGACGGATTGAACTGCTGTTCAGACAGTGCTGTTTCATTCCATTACGTGTCACCGAACATGATGTATGTTCTGGAATATCTGATTTACCATTTGAGGCCATATGGTATCAGTCATAGCCTGGAAAGATCCTCTCCGGATCGACCGTCGACGTTGATCGAATACTAGTCCGTACACTGTCGTAAATAAACCGTAAGGTTCTGTAATTCTTATTTTATACATGATACTAGTCCATTCGAGCCAACGATATATAAGTGTAATATATTCTCAGCGGATGAAAAGTGTGATATATTGTACTTCTTAAACACATGAAGTCTTTATACGTATCTGTGTTAAAAAACACTGGCCATAATGGATATAGTTATAGTTTAGACTAGAAAAGATAGGGAGACAATGCAAGCACAATAGATATGCGTTAGAGAGATTCAGAATCTTTTTTTTTTTTTAGAACGAAATCACGACAGTTAAATTTTATAAGATAAGATGTGATAATAATTTCTTAAGAGTTTAAACTGAATAAAACGTATGATCCTTAGAACAGATGTCGTATTTTAATATGTGTGTGTGTGTGTGTGCGCGCGCGCGTGCGCGTGTGTGTGTGCGTGTGTGTGTGCGCGTGTGCGTGTCGTTGAAGAATAGTTTTCCTTTCTCTTTAAAGATACTTAAAAGTATTACGTTTTATTTTCCTTTAAAAAAAAAACTTATCTAATCTTCTACCTAATTGGAAATGTAAACATATACAGCACCATCGACTAATAGAAAGATATTAGTATACAAAACTCGAAATGATAAGAGCAATCACTTTGTAAATGAAAAACATTCAATCAATTATTCATTTGTTTTTTTTGCATGTTCATAGAAGTGAAAAATTTTTTCTACTGTGCTTGCAATTTTTCGGGCGCTGCAAATACGAGAGAAAAATCACATATGTAATTATATATATACACATAAAACTGTATTTCGTAATATTAATATAATAATGGTAATAATAATTTTAATAATAATAATAATCCCAATAATGACGTACTACCCAGTAATAAATACTATAGATACAGAGTGAGTGTGGGTGTGAGTAAATTAACCAATTAATTAGGGAGTTAGGGGTTCTATGTACAAGTCATATTTGTACTATGCGACTGACGCAATTGGCCACCGTGGCTCCACTCAGACGCGCCCCACAATTTCTCTCTTCGTGTCTTCTTTTTTTTGCATTCGAAGTTAAATTGGAGAAAAACAATCTCTGCATAACTGGCTCGTTCTCTCATTCTCTCGCTTGTTCTTTTCTCTCTCTTTCTCTTTCACTCTTGCGGTTATTTCCCTCTTTCATTCGCAATTATCTAATCTCGGCGATGTCTCACTTCATAAATTATTTAAAAACAATATTTTACATTATAATGTATGTATAATATATAGAGGTCACCTAATCCGAATAAAATTTGTCAAACAGCATCGAAAAATTGCGCTAACGGGTCCAGGAAACATGATAACAGCGACCCAGTGCCGCGCGAGCATAATATAATATTATAATCGTCATACTTATCTCACACCAGGGGCTTATACGAGGCATCGCTTATAAAAAAGAAGTCCACCTCTCTTTTTTTTATATCATCTATATAAAATTAAAAAACAACGTAATATCATTTATATTACTTCGTCGTCATTAATAATAAAAGCTTTGTACAAAATTTAATTTACAATTAAAAACTTTTGGTTACGTAATTTTTCTAGAGATTCTGATTTGTAATTCAACTATCTATCGATAGAGAGGCAATCAAAAATCATTTTCTTATTATGCACTCTCTTTTTCACCTTTTCTCTCTTTCACTCGCTCGTTCGTTCACGCACTTTCTCTGTTTCTTTCGCACTTTTCTCTCGTTATACTTCTCTTTCATCCTCATTCTTTCCTGCCCTATCTTTCTTCCTTTCTCACAGTATCTTTCATCACTCGCATCTTCGCTTCTACCATTCGCAAAGTCTCACATTTGCTTTCGCTGGCAATGGTCGTATTGGATGCGCAGTTCATTTTTTCCTTACGAAATACGAGATACGATCATAAACACAAAGTACAATCTATTTCGCCTGTTATAATAGAAAAATGGTAAAGAGAGTCGCTGTTCGTTCTCATCGAGTTCTGCATTTTCAGCCTTTGCATTTTCATTGCGCTAACTTGTGTATTAATTAGAGTCCGAGTAAAAAAAGCTCGGTTCTCTTTACATATGGTCGAGAAGGATCGTACTCTGTACCTAGACAATCTCTTTCTCTCTAAGTACCTAACTAATGTAGTATAGGTAAAGGGCATAGGAAATCAGTTGCTCTCGTAAAGCCCCAAGTGACGGTACAATAAGGAGTGCGTGAGAGAGGTGCATATACTGCACTACAACGGGAGAGGGTGTGGGTCAGACGAGAGCTGCCGTCGCATGGTAGAGATGCATGAGCGCCTGTACGTGCACTGGTAAGCAGGACAGTCGATCCTTGGTGTTTGCATCCAGCGCAAGCCACGACAGTGCGTTGTACCCTTCCAACACGTACCTGTCAATCACGCAAATTGCACGATAACGAATTTCGCGCAACAAATGTCTAGAAAGCAAAAATTATGAACATCATACAAACCTGAGCACGTCAGTGGTATACTGCGAGTCCAATGGATGAGCAGTAGGTGCGTTTTGTTGCTGGAGTAAATCGTCGCTGTTCTGTTGTATTGCGGGACTGTGCAGGTGTAACGCGTTCTTCAGGAATACCGGACAAACGTTTTCGAGATGTGGACAAGCTGCCCAAAACCATGGTGGCATTCGTCCCGTTGGCGCAGTTGATACTAGGTAACCAAGAGCGAGCGGTTGTTGTAGAAGCGTGCCAACTTCTTCTGCTTGCTCAGTCGTCGCTATCTGCGAATAACATAAATTTGCATATAATTTTACATGGATACAATATAGTCACAGACTTAATTTAAAAACAAAATTTACTCTTGGCGTATTGCTGCACGGAAACGGACTGCCAGGTCCATCGTGATTGCCCAAGCCTGATCCACCGCCATCTCCTCCATGCGGTGAACCTTCAGGACGGTGCGGACTTCCACTTGGACTTTGCCCACCGCCTGCGCCCGGCTCAGGCCAAACATTGAAAATGTCGTTGAAGTCACCCATTCCCTCCATACCTTCCGGCATATCATCGTTTAGAGCAGAAAATAATTCGTCGTCTCCCAACTCGGGTACGTTGTGTTGCTCTTGAAATGCAGTCTGCGACGACTAAAATATTAAAACAACAACAGGATTTGCCTAATTCGATAAATAATATAATTAAGCTTATGTATATATAATTAAACTTTATTACCTGAGTGGTAGATTACAGATGCCTGACTGAATCTTTCGTCGGGAGTGAATTGATCGGCCATTAATCTCAGAGTGGAATCTGGCTCGAGTGAGACTAAACACGCACTGAGTACGCAAGGTGCCGCCGAGGGATATAAGAGACTACACTGTCCACATATCTCTTTTAGATGCTTTGAAGCTTTCAAAAGCGCTTTTCTAGAAAGTAACCAACTCCATCCTTTCAATTCGCCATGTCCAATGCGTCCTACTCGACCAACGACCAGTCTCCATGGTTGTACCTGCAACAAAAATAATTTAACGATATAAAAAAAAGAAATACTTATAAAATGAATAATATTTAATGACAAAGAACAAATGTTTTTAACAAGAATAAAAATTATCAATGAGAATTTGAATTGTGATTTTTCATGCCATTTATAATACCAAGTATTCTGTCATCATTAAAAAAATTAATGGGAAAGAATATCAATTTTGCATATTTTGAGTCGTCTTTTAATAAGAGGATGCTATCGGAATACACATAAAAAAACAACACCATGGTCTGAATAAACACAAAGTGATACTGATCGATTACCTGATTAATTATCTTCCTGTCCTTAGCCATTTGTTCCCCTCTTAAGTTTCTGATTCTAACTCCCCTCCTTTAATGCTTGCCCCACCACACTTTTTAACATAATCAACCATTCCATACTATTGTTCTACAGTTAATTCCTTGTTAACATGTTAACGATATACGTCTTATTTGCAACCGACATATATTTCAATTTTTGAAGCTTTGTAATAGATATAATTAGTAATTTGAAACTGTTAACGGTATACTGAGGATGATCTGATATAAAGGCCAAAATGTTTGTTTTTTTTCAGATGAGAAAAATTATTACAAATATTGTTTTTGTGAAAAAACTTTGCGTTGGCTTTTATGTTCTTTATTAGATATTGTTAGTTTGTTCTATTAATGTTGATTTTAATTTATGTAAAATTTTTACTTACACCTTGGGACATTACACCCAGTATAAAATCCATAAGCTTTTGAAGGCCAATACGCCTAGCCGAAGCGCGCTTTCTTCTTTTCCTGTTAGGTATGTCGATGTTAATGGTAGCGGTTTCGAAAATTTCGCCCCTATCGTCCGTTGCGGCCGCCAACAGCCAAGACTGATCCTCACTCAAACAGTAACTCAGATAGAGCACTGCACATTCTTCGGGTCTTGGCATGCCAAATGATTCGGGAGCTTCGCTCTTTGCCCGCAGCGGTGCTAATACGAAGGCCGGTGCGTAGAGACGGTAAGGTGCCCTATTTCGTTCCTGATGCAGAGAATATTACTAAATGAGTAAAAATGATTTATATATAGCACGGATTTTAATTTCACAGCACAATATCGCAGCGCACAAACGGAACTTGGCAATCCTCAATCACATGGTAAGCATTAATTTATAGCAATGGAACATGGAGCCTTACATCTTTACTTTTGAGGAAGATGTCTGCAGCGGCGGCAGTACCGAAACCGGTAAGGCTTTTCACTGTAGAATTATGATTTAATAATCGACGCCCTTGCAAGAAGACATTTAACGCCAAGGCTCTCATCTCATCTTGAATCTTTCGCCTTTCTCGAGCTCTACCCAATTCCATTATGCTTTCCAAGGATATTATCTAAAAGCAAATTGTTAGAATGCTATAAAAACACAATTTAAAATACTGATCAACTGAGTTTTAAAATTATTAATTCCTCATTATCAAAATCCTGTCCTAGAATTTATTACCTGAACATGAACATTTGATCTCATATTTTCAGGCATGCTATTGATCGCAGAAGAGTAAGCTCTAAGTAGAGCTAGAATGGCAAGCCGACGTCGATCAGGATCCTCAGTACCGCCTAACGAAAAAGGTTCAACAAAGTAAACAACGATGGCTGGAGGTTCGATTTCCTCCTCGTCCGGACCTGTGGTCGTAGTAATCGGCGTCGTGTTGCTTGTAGATTGCGATGTCGGTGTCGTATTACCGGTTGTATTAGTAGTCGTCTGATTCGTTGCTGTACTCGAGGAGGGAGTTTCGCTCCTCAGATTTTCCCCTTCTGTAAAAGGCAACGAATCTCGCTAGACCCCAGGGACGATCGCTAAAACCGTATCATCAAAATGCACTAAGACGTACCGACAGACTCAGGCTTGGTCGATAATACATCGGGTGTAGCTGGCATTGTATCAGGAACGGGAATTGTTGTCGATTGCTGTTGCTGCTGTTTGTTGGCCGCTTGAGACTCACCAGGATCCAACAAACTACGATCTTGTATGACCTGAGTCAAATACGGAGCCAATCGATGATTACACACTTGGGCATACAATCTCAACAGTTCGCCTATATGATTCTCCCCCAAAAACTTGAACCAATCATCCATCGGTTGCTTCGCCAGTTTCTGTACGGTCGACTTCCCGACGCGCAGAATTCCATCGCGTAGTTGTTTCGAGATTGGCGTGTGTCTTCCTAACCGGCAAATCTACGACGAGTTAAAAATCGAAATCTCAAATTTTAATATTTCCTATTGCAGGCGAAATTAATTGAGCGAATCGTGAAAGGAGATATAATAACAATACAGAAAAAAATCAATTTTAAAATGTAGTTTTCGAACACATTTTAGAAAAATAAAGAAAAAAATTCCAACTACCTATATAAAATGTGTATATATATAATTATATATTTTGCAATAAAGATTCAAGGATCCAAAAATTTTTCTTTTTTTGCTTAATAAATTTAATAATAAAATTTATTTATTAATATTAATAGCAATACTATTGTTCTTTGAAGAATCGTGATAAAAAGACAAAGACATCGATGAAACTTCTATTGTGATGGTTTTTTTCACATCATATTAAATATAATCGAGACTTGTTATTGTGATGAGAAAAGAGAAATGTATAAAATTTGAAAATATTAAAATTGTGAGACAAAATAATTCTTGCATTTACCTCATACGTGCAGGAAAGTTCTCGGAAGAATGATTTCACTCTACTGACAATACAATCGCTGTCAGGTGCGACGACCACGTAGGCGACGTCTCTAGGTCCGGCAAACGGTTCTAAAGACAGTTTTTCCCAGAAACAGACTGCGTACGGTGACAATGATAACCAATCACGATCATATCCGACGACTAGAGCGGGTATTGGTTGTGGTTCACAACGATCGTCAGTGCCGCGACCGGCCAAACGATGGAATTGTCGCCACGTGAGCGGTCCGGTGACAGTATACGGCGCTTCCCACATGCGCGTCGTACATTTCTTCTGTACTGCGTCCTGAAGCAGCGGCTGTAGCGATCTCATCATTCGCACGATGTCGCCACTACATTGGGGACCTCGTGCCCTAAGGAATACCCACCGATGCACGCCGTTTACACGCGCCGCCCTCTCGTTATGCGCACCATCGAGCTTGCCTTGATCGAGCGCGGCGACGCATACCTCATTGCCATCGTTGAATTCCAGAGTATTCACCGTCGGCGTCAACGTCGGATAGCTTTTCACGGTAGCGCATATCCTGGCCGCTCTGTACAAACTGCTGGCAGAACTTTGAACGATCAGGCATTGCTCGCGTAATAACTCGAGAACATTTGGTGGTATCGTGTCGAGGCCTTCGGGAGCCGCTTTCGCTCCGGGACACGCGACCGCGGTAAGCGAGCCCTTCTTCTTCTCCGCCGGATCTTCGGCGACGCCCGTGATCTCCATCTCATCTTCGTAGAACAGACCCGCTCGATGTGCGAGTCGTCGATTCACTACGGCGCTGAAGCCACAACTACATCTGATTTGATCGTCGTCTTGGAAGAGCGCAGAACCCACCCACGAATTGCTAAGATAAACGCCCGCATCAGCGCCTTTGATATTGCCTACAACCTTGGGCCCAGCATTGCACACACACAGACTGCAACTGTCGAAGTTATGATCGCGGAAGATATTGAGTGCAGTGTCACCCAGAAGAATATTCACTACGAGGGAATTTGATTCGGGTGCGCGAGCGGGTCCCGGCGTATCCGCCTCGATGCTATTGAGATTTTTATTGAGATATGAAGAAGTAGTGGATGTGGCTGGGCTGGGTTGGTCATATGGAGGTGGTGGTGGCCTACCAGGCAGAGTGTTTGAACGGTAAGGTGGCGCCGGACTTTGTGGACAAGGCTGCTGTTGTTGTTGTTGTTGCTGCTGCTGCTGTTGCTGCTGTTGTTGCTGCTGCTGTTGTTGCTGTTGCACTGATCCGGGTCTGGTTGGTGGAAGAGGTTTGTCCGCCTGATTGGTGGAAGCAGGATTGCACTGCCAGGAAGGTCTGTACACGCAGTGCGATGGCAGTGTAATGGATGGCAGAGATTGGCTAGGCAGATTCGTGAGAGGTGCGTACTTGGAAGAACCGACCATCTTGCTGATGGCCGCCGGCTTGAACACGTATGACCAATCGTCAATTGGCTCTTCTTGTGGAGAACCCATATTAGGATAGATGTCGGGCAGGTGTCTGAGCGGTCGTGAAGGCATCAGCAGCTCAGTCTGGTCCATGAGAGGGTCACTTAGTTGGCAAGGCGAGGCAACAGGATTATGCTCTAAAGAAGGAGGAGTTGGAAACATCTTGGATAGTTCTTCTGGTCGTAAAACTGTAACTCCTCGATTGTTATTCTTGTTTGCACCGTCCACCCTCGTCTCTTCGTGCAATCCAGATTTATTCGAGCCTGGTGGCGTTTGCATTTGTAGTTGATTCAGATTCTGTGAACATAAAGATATCCTATCTATTCGATCTTCGAGGATGGTGTCTCTAACTTCTCTTGTGTTCTTGTGCCATGTACAGAATTATATCAGTTATTTTAAAATAAATTCGAACTTACCGTTTCATCGCTGGAAGTATCAGGATCGGAGTTGTCGAATATTTGATCTAAATCTTTATAGGAAGGCTGAAGACCCTCGCTGGTGAAAAGAGATCCTGGTTTAGATGGATCGTCCCTTTGTCGTCTGAGACCATCGACATTTGTGCCATTTTCCTCGCCTGTCGCATCGAATTCGTATGGATCTGTTCTTCTTCCGATACATTCGCCCTGATATCACAAGACATACTTTATCGTTAATGCGTTTAATAATGCGAATGAAGAAGCAACTAGACATTTACCTTAGAACTGAAAATAGGTAAGAATATTTTTATGATCTTATCGCAAATAAAGTTAATAAATAATTTTCAATTAAATACTGAAATGTTTTTCATTGAAGTTCTTGAATAAAAAATTTTTTGTGTATATGCTAATCGTATTTTATTTTTTTACCCTGAAAATATGAGACAAACCGTAGTAATTTTACAAACTTCCAGTAATTTCTAAATTTTATAAATTATATAAAATTCCACTAAGGTTTTAAAAGGCATCTAAGAGAAAGTAGTCTTTCTACTATATAATTTGATAAAATCTGAGTATTTTTGTAGCAAATATATATTTAGAAATATGCTAGGTGATTCAATTTATCTTAATTGTTTTTTTGTCAATGATAAATATCACTTACAACTGCGACAGGTTCTTGTTTAATTTCCAGCTTAGGAGCTTGAGATTGGACTGTTTGAGAGTTCATTGGTGGGTACAGAACGTTGCTCCGGTTGGTCGGCGGGGCGCTGATGTTCATGGATTTAAAACGCTTCACAGGATGATTCAGCCAAGCTTCCTGGAGCGAATAATCATAGAGCCAAGATAGCGGTTGCTCGTCTTCCAAGAGAGCACCTTCGTATTCTCGGGATACCAAGATTGGTCGTTTCAGTACCGGTCCAGGAACCGACGGACTGTGCACCTGGTTGTTGCACGCGGAAGAAATAGACTTGGGCCCTTGCGACGGGGTTAGGGGTAGGGCAGTGTTTGTGTGACTTGGTGGAGGTTGCGGGCTGAGAGTCGGCATCGTAGGCTCCGCGGGCGGGACCGATGCCGGCTCGGAGTGTGGAGTCAGGAGAGGCGATGGTGCCGGAGAACCTGGTGAGCCAACCGACGGCACCGGTAAACAATCTCCTCCCGTTGGTGGTCCGCGCGAGTAGGAAGGTGGACCGCCTGGTGGTGTACTAGGTGCTTCCGTTCTACTCAGTACTGACCTACTCAATTTTTAAACAGATTGATTACGCATATGTTCAACAATGTTTGTTAGAGTCGTAAAGAGAAAATGAGTTTAATATCCGTATCCAAGAACGTGAAAAAGCATTGAATAGTCAATTCTGATACAGGGAAGACCAATCCAAAATGGCAAACAGTATTTTTCAGAACTGGATTATTAAAATGTTAGACTATAATTTTTAGATTATAGTATTCCCTACATCGTGATTATTTCGATATATCGTGGTATATTTAAAAATAATTTAGCTTTACATTAGAACAGCAATGCATTTTCGTTAATTTTTTTCAACATATTAATAATGTTATTGAAGTAATAACTTTGTGCAACTAAGATGATGAATCGTTCAAGAAAAAGCGTATGTCGCGCTTGTCGAAACATAAAATGTATATGAATATGAACAGAAGCCTGTTATATGTAGATGGATGTAAAAACGACAACTCATAAGGTAAAATAAATGCTGGAAATATCGAACAATATCCACATGCAAAGCATATACCATTTTCTATATTACATATAACACAAGCAAATTAAATAACTAAAGAAAAAGATATAATAATATGCTGAAGTGTACTACCAATCATGTGTAAAGCTCAGATCCCGTCTGCTACCGAATCTCATGCGTATGAAAATATTTTTAGGTCGACAGATCATATGTGAAAATTCATAAACTATTTTGTTTTTTGTTTTTTATAAGTGATATATAGTATAAGTATAGAAATAATTTCGCTAAGGGAACATATCGTTGGTATAAACTTGTTACTCGTTGACATTAAATACATGTCTGTACTCACTACATTGTATTAGTACATGTAAAAAATTGATAACCTTATACCATAGGATTCACGTAACATTGACATTAGGAAGTCCCATTTACCCACTGAAAAATTCTAATAGTTATACCATTAGATGATATTTGCACAGTTTTACACGTCTCAAGTGTAAAAATATTAGTCTGCCGTTCGTCTTTCTTCACCCACGACTCGATCGCATTTAAAAAGACACATGCCTCGCACCTTTGTACAGTTAAAATAAAATCTGATTAATACGTTATATTGTGCGTCAAGTTATTTGAATGTATTACATGATGGAGCTGCAAAAGCGATGAATCTGCGTGTGAAGAGTTATGGGGGATCATTATGATCATACATAAAACTGGCGTTATTGCGGTGATTGATTAAGAGAAATGATGAAGATGATCTTTTTCTCCCTTTGTATTTGGGGGCCTAGAAATTACCCACCTGGGGGCATTAGCAGGGACAGAGGGACAAGCGTCCCACTGAGTGGTAGACCGTCGGTGAAACGGTACGACCCTCCGTCCACCTTTATCTACCCTCTCCCTCTGAATCTGAGAGGAGGCCAGGCTCTTCCAACCCCCGGGGGTCGTATACCTGCAACCGATGCATTTAACATCTCGTTTCCTTGCGAACGCATCTTTCTATCATTTTACCTTACAGAATCCTGAAGCAACAACTCATATCAACTTCGTGAAATTGCACAAAGACTAGCTTAAAATACGGCATACTTGTGACGATTTCTATTTTATTATTCTGATAAATGTCTAATCATGTATTTTAAGAAAATGATTCAAACAAAAAACTAAATGTTTTGCTTGCGAATTAACAATTCTTTTAAGAATTTGAGTTATCTATTTGAATTATTTCACAGTAATCCTACTATTAATATTTCTTCTTATATTTTAATAATCATTTTTATTAATAAATATTACATTGTCTTAATCAAGTTTTGAACATCTCATTGAAATTATTGATATGAAATGATACATTATGATTGTTTTGAACTTCGCTTTTTTTTTTTAAATTAATGGCCACAAAAATAACGTTTGCATATCCAAGTATTTTTTGGCAACCTCGTGATTCTTCAAATATGAGAGTTCAGCAATCACATATTTAAATGTCAAGGAAGAATTAGCTAAGATTGCATTTACGGTATGTTATTTTAAGCTAGTCTTCATTGATTTATATAAACGTAAAAAAATTAGTCAATTTTTCTATTCAAACATAACATACTTCAGGTCTCTTTAGCTTTTCATTGGATTTTATATCTCATTAATACTCGGTCCTAAACGTACTTATACTTTTTTTTATAGAAGCTCAAATGCAATGTATAATAATATTACAATCTTTTCGTTATAGTACAATTTATGCGTTTTTGAACAAAAATTATAAATAAGTAATTTAACTCTTGCTTAAAATATAATTTTATAAATACATTAACAAGTTTGTCATTAAGAATTGCTTTTGAACTGTCTTTTCAAAGACTAAATTTCCATGCACACATTACAACAGCCATCACATACTACTACTTATCTATAATAATTTGGATATTCTACGATTCTATATTTTGTGCTATTACATGCAATAATGGCAGAAACCAATATGATGGCAAATATTACTAACATTATTCAACTGACGCAATATATAGCAAAATTAAATGTTTACTATTGTATTCAATTATGAAAAAGGTCATATATATAGTAATTGATTTTAGTCTGCTATTGAACTAATTAAAACAATTTGACAAAAGTTACATATAGTAAACAATTAATTTTTTATACTTGAAATCTAAGAAACAGGAATCTAAAGACAGTGTCTTGCACAATGCAATAAAATCGAAATAATAAAGAAGCCTAAACTTCCGCTGTTCTTACTTCGAACATGAACAGGTACAGGAAGACTTTTGCGTCGGTTCCACGAACGTCCAGGTTCCAGGTTCCGTGGAAGATTCTGTCTTGGAAGCAGACACTGGTGAACTCAAAGTACATTCTGCCCACACGCGCTCCGGTAATTCGGTAGCTGCGCTCAGTTCCTGTTGCGTTAAGAGGGGTCGCTCACAAGTAACGGGGCTGCTTGGAGGCGAGAGAGGAGTTTCGGGTGGCGTATCATCCATATCCGTAACCAAGACGTAACAAGAAGGATAACGCATGCGCACGCCACCGACGAGGACCTCCACGAGGGGTGGAAGCCCGGTCTCCGGATTACTGCCGGTACTGATTGGATAGAAATGTTTCCATTCTTCGAGAAGTTGACTGTCCATACGGCTCACCTGACCCGTTAATGTGCCTGCTAGTCCATAAGGGGCTAGGATCACTATGCAACAAATCAAGAAATACATTGATATTAATAATGAATCAATATTTCATCATGTATCAACTGTACTTATAGATCTTTCTCTCTTGTGTAGTAGGCGATACTTACCCTTAACACCGGATTGGGAGGTCTGAGTACGTTGTAGACATGTCTTTGTGAGATGTCGCACCGCAGGATGCTGCCTGACGTCCACACTTGCGCACACAGTACTTTCTCCGTGAACGAAAAATGCAAACGAGAACGACAGATGGCTGCTGCAAATACAATTAAAAGATTTAAAGATTTATCGATCGAATTTACACTGTATTTTGCATCACAAAAGTACCTTATACTGTGTACTTTGTACACTCGGTGCATTGTACTCTTTATCACATTAAATTAGACACATTTGAGACGTATGCATCCTATTCACGTATTTGTGTGTCACTTAAATCCACATTAAACATTTACAAATATCAAATTATCGGTTAGGTTATATAGTTCTGAGATCACTCCGAGTATTCATTTCACAATGAACATTTGTGTACTTATTTTATGAAATATTTAGATATGATATATACGTTCTGAATACGCTATTGTACATTTTAAATGTGTGTCCAATTTTTACATGATAAGACATACAATGATACTGAATGTTCTTAAAATAATTTATTCTCAAAATAAAATAAAATAAAATATCATTACTTTTGAAAAATATTTTGTGAAATTGCAGAACTCAATAATAGACATTGTTATTAAACAAGCGTTTACCTGCTGCAACGGTGTTTCTCGTAGCCATTGTAAGGTTGCACAAACCACTTTCCTAAGCGAACGAAGTCACGGGATAGCAAACACCGTTCAATCAAGTTATGCAGAGCCTTGAAAAGAAGTGACCGGCATTCGTACGACAATCCGCTTTCCCAAGAACCCTGCTCGCTTTCTGTAAATGACAGTAAATAATAAAATCGTGAACGAAGCCGTTGGCGCATCGGTCTAGTTATAACATTCCTTCTTGTACAATGAACGACATGGAGGAACTAGAATACTCTAATGTGCGCTACGTATGGACGATCGATTTCTAAAAATACGCGGAAATAATGGTTACGCGTTGCTACTGCTGCTCCAATTAAGCGAGAAGAAGCGATATGTCTTCTTTCGGCTCTAGCAACAAATAGTCCAGTGTAATTTTCGCTCGTTATCGTACATATTTTAATAATCGCGCTGTACGATGAAGCAGGTGAAGTACGCTCTTATTTGCGGAGCGCCCAATCCGGCGGAATTTAATCGTGAAAGTAATGCGATTCGCGTGTAAAATCATAGCGACGTCACGTCAAGCGACGGTGAGCGTTTCGTGGAAGGTAGAGGAGAAGTTGGCCGAGAAAACAGAAAAGTTCTAGAATCCCAAGTCGCGCGCGCGCGCGTACTCGAACCAGCTTTCCCCTGATTTTGTTCTCACGCGAACGAGTGCGCTTCGAAGTGCGAAGAGGTGCGTAGGATCTGCTAGCTCGCTTTGGAACGCGCGCAAGCGCGATATTATGCACGTTTCGTTCTGTGATTTCAACTCACGATCGTTGAAAGGTGTATCTCAAGCAAACGCACGTTTCCCTCCAACTACAACTGTATACAAAAATAATTAAACACTGAGACATGATTATTTAACGAGAGAAAGAAATCAATGAATCTCATGTAATTAAATACAGCTTTTATAATAACACGCAGTTGCAGTAACGTTGAGAATCACTGGGTGGGAGAACACGTGTTCTGTCGATCGATATGACCGGAGCCTGAGGGAGTTGCATCTCTCATGGACCACTAGCCGCGGTGGTCTCACTGCAGCCTGCGTGTCCCAAAATCCGAACGTTATCGAGAAACTTCCATCGCGATAATCGCACGTAAAACTGACGGTGAAATATATTATTCTTAAAAAGTAGAGCGCACTCGGCATGACTGTTGCTATAGCTGTTACTGTCTACCTCAATATTAATTATCTGACGGGATGAAACAAAAAGAGACAGTGGTACATTTATCCATTCCATGCTTTTAAACTGATAATACAAAAATATTCTCTCCTAGCAAAGAAAAGAAAGGAGATCGATATCCGATAATAGCGATGGGGCGCGTCTTATCTCAATTCTCCGAACGATCAATGTTCTTTTTTTTAGTCGCTAAACTGTCGCGATTGTCACCGTCGTAGCGGTAGGCCATGTTGGTCGTTTTCAGTCTTAACGGTTCACCGTGCGGTCGGTCGGCAGCAGTTTCGCAATTGGTGCACTCTCCGGCAGAGCAGCGCGGCGCGGTACGATGCACAACACAGCAGATCTATACGTTGCGCGCTGCAACGAGTTGCAGACAAGTGCATGGTTCAGCGACCCCGCCGGTCGAGAAACGCCGCCGGCCGGGCCTCGGTCCAGCACGGCTCGAACGCTGGTCCGTTGCACGACAACGACGTTACTGCACACTTCTTAAAGGCGGGATAGTCATCGTAGTCGTTGGAGCTTGAGCAGTGAAATCTAAGCGTTAAAAGAAAGAAAGAAAATATGAACCTGGCAACATGGGATCCTGGGTACCATCGATATTTTGTGTGATTGTGAATTCTGGTAGATTTAAATCTATAAAAAATAAGTAAAATATAATTCGACTTCTATGATGATAAAAACTTGTTAAAGCTTCAATAAGTATATCAGAATTTTTTTGTAATCTGGAACAATAAAAAAATTTGCCTTGTTTCTCAAAGATTTCTATTACCACGGAATTAAGATTCCATAGAGATGAAATGTCCCATGTTGCTAGGGAAGGATTAAGGATTGAGTGAATCAAATTTGATAACTGAACGTATCTTGCGACATAATCTACCATCCTCGAGAACATTCAACTGCGATTTGATTAATTTATTCGTTGCTCGAAGCTTCAGTCTTGGAGAGAATATTTTACTGATTGTTTACTGAACGTGAATACTGACGTATAAAAAAAAACAAAATTTATCTCGATGCAAAATACAAAAAAAAAAGGATTCGTATGATTTTATGCTTCGAGTAATATAACTCGATATACATATATCTACAGCGAGAGAAAACGAAAGCTTCAATTTGTTAAATCGACCGGTCACGGTTGAGCATATTCCTTGACCTAATCTAATCTCGAGAATTATAACTAGCCGGTTCGCTACTGCTTTAAAAGCTTCGTCGCGTGTCTCTGGCTTTAGACCACGTAGGTATCCTCAAACAAGACTGGTTCGGCTTGGTTGTCCGAGTTTTTATCAGAACGACATCAAACTATCGCTTTTACTCGCGATAAAGCTCTAGAACGGAACATGAAAAATGATCGTAGAGAAATCATAGAAATTCATGATACTGGTCGCTTATTTTCCTCACATTCGATGTGATTGATCAATTTCTTACGACTTAAGGCTTAATTTTACGGCCTTAAAATCTCATTGTAAACGCCGCTTAAAAAAACAGGCAGAATCGTTTCGATGGCCCGAAAGGAGATACACAGTTGAGTGATAATTTGATGTGCGATTCACGGGCTAACGCGTTTATACACGTCGCTGCTTATCGCAACGATCTAGAGACTAAAGAGAGTTTCACTTTTAATCGTATTCCTTTTTCCCCTCCTCGTGACTTTAACGTTGCCTCTCGTCGGCTATATCGACAGAAGGTTATATACGCACAGTCTATATATCTTGTGTATAGTACAAGATTTTTGCCCGTTAAGCGCTTCTGCAAATCCGTTAACGCAACGTGGTCCCTTCGTGTCTCTTACGTGTCGAAACTTCCTCTTGGAAAGTACGTAATAAAAGTTAGCTTAGTCACGGTCTCCTTGTTGGCGTTAGGTAAAACACCACACAACGGTATATAAACATCACGTAATTGCTACTTCCAGTCCGGCGTACGCAATATACCGTACATCACGCCTATATAAATGTTACGGATCAAGATTATCAGTTTGTCATGTATCGAGCAAATGATACGAATCATCTTCATGTAAACATGATTTGAGACATTTTTGATTCTCGATTATTACACTATTTGCCACTTTTAGACCTACCAACAAGAATCTGGATACGAGCTGCAGTTTTATATGCAGAATAGTAGTTTAACAAAAAACTACAAAAAAAAGGACATATATTTAATATTTCTTTCTTTTCTCACTTTACTTCTTTCTTATTTATTTCTCTCTGTCTCAGGAATTGTTGAAACATGGCGAATCAATCAAAAGAGACTTTCTCATGTCCAGATTCTTGTTAAAAGGTCTCTAGCCGCTTTCAGAAAGATATAACTTCTAGTTGTGAGGTAGGCCGCTTTCTTTCTAGAAAACGTAGTCAACACAAATGTTGTTCTATTTTTGTTACAAATGCCAAGAAGAATAGAATGGTGTTGGTGTCGACTGTGTCTTCTAAAAAGAAAGGAATTCTATAATAATCGAACATTTTGTTGTAAAATTCACGTAACGAGTTTCGAAAATCAATTCTCCTTTATGTTCCTCAGCTCGTTGGCCTATAACCTCCAAGTTCGACTTGGTTCAGCGCGACGTGTGCGTTTCCGGACACGCGGTAGAGATATACTCACCGCAAGCGATGAGCTCCGGTGATACCAGACCGGAGAGATCGGGTTCCTCGCCGTACCAGAAGATCCAGAGCTCCTTGGCGGCGGTGAGGGAGAGCGGCGGGGGCGCGGGCGAGGGCGCGATGCCCAGGTCGAAGATGCCAGCCCCGGGCGCCGAAGCGGCGG